TGTCCGGTCTCGTATACACGTAGAGGACTCAATGACTTTGCTACTACTTCCATTTGAATACTTCCTGCATTACTTACCTCCTGTGTTCCTCCTAGTGTCTCCTCGTCTCCAAGTGTCTCCTGTTCCTCCTAGTTCACGGATCGCTGAGGTGTGTGCTCCTCCTGCCTGCATTCCAGCTCCTGTAAAGCCAAAGACCCGGATTACCCCACTCATCATATCCTTCGAACTATTCCCTCACCATCACATCCTCTGAACCCTACCCCAGTACTCTCTGTGACCAAATAAACCTATTTTATATATACTAACCAGTTGTGTCAGACCTCTTCCGTTACACATACCTTTCTATCAAAGTTATCTGACATTATCAAGCTGAATTTGTTCTGACACAGTTTAACTCTGAGTTCTTGTCATTTTCTAAACTATAGGGAATAAACTGATAATGTGAGAAATGTTGAAGGTGTCTGAATAAATTTTGGTTTGACTATCTATTTGATAAATGAAGTTAACCAACTAACATTATACATACTCTTTTGGTTTCTGTACCCAATATTTTAAAAATGTACAAATGCAATGAAAATATTGGTATCGGTACTCGGTATCGGCAAGTACCAATAATAAAAGTATCGGTATCGGGCGAGTACTGGAAAAAGTGGTATCGGTGCATCCCTACTTTATACATCTTGCTTTCCCTCCCTGCTGCAGCCAAATGCAATTGATTGCCAGTGCACTTCACTCACAGAGAAGATGTTCAACACCTTAAAGACATCAGACATAGTTTGGCTTGAATGCAAACTACAACCTTTCCCCCGAGGTGGTGGATTTAAATTCGAAACATGCTTGTCAGCATCCATCTGTCAGACGCCTGCCTCTGTTTAGATAAGAAATCTCGAACCCGCTGAATTCATGATGAGGGACAGTGAAAGAAAAACGTATGCAGGAACAAACATGCACCCATCAGCCATTCACAAGGCAAGTGTATTTTAATGAAAGAATCAGGCTTCTTCATATAAAGCCAATCACACTAAACAGTTTCTGAATAAATATAAGGCTGTGCGGTGATTTTGAAAGCAGCTCCTCTGGTTGCCGCTGGCCTCTTCTCTGGTTGATTTCATTAAAGCGCTGTCTCTGGACCACTTAATCGGGCCGCTGATCCAGAGTTGACCCTGATGTGACCTCACTTCTTACCCTCTGTCTTTCTACCTCATTAATGTGCCAAGGACAGTAGTGAAGTTCCTCTCTCCTCATGCGTGCACACACACTCTCTTTTGTTGCTGGCTCTTTGTCAGAAGCATCACCCCACAGGTCAGTGCACTATTGAGCTCTGTTAGTATCTGCTTGTAACAAATTCTCTCATTGCACTGTCAGAAAACCCAGGCACATAAAAGGACAACAAAGACAAGTATAAATGGTTTCTGATATAGCTGCATTTTGGTCGGAAACTAATCTGTTTTTGAATGAATCTTTTAGGTCAGCAAATCATTTTTGTGCACATACTTTTGAAGTCAAGTAGGTTTATAATACCTGCAGAAAGCTATTCGAGTAAAACGGTTTAAATTATTTTACCAGAAGACAGTTTAGTTTAGATGTAACCTACAGAAAATGTTACTGAGTGAATCGGTGAACAGAATCAAATGATTTAAGACACTGGAATGAATCAAAATCACTACTACTACAGTCTGATACCCATACAATGTCATGCTTGTTTGTGATACAGGATAAAAAATTTTTTAGAGCATTTTTTGTTGTTGTTAGTTTACAGCATGTCTCTGTTGTGCAGTTTGACATCCCTGGTGACACAGACACGTGTTTTTCTGGATTCTTCACAGTTGTAGTCTTCAGGGAAACTTCTAGCTCCTATACAGCTCTGAACATTTCTCAGTACAGTTTTCATCTGTGTTACCCAATATGTGAGGCGTTTTTGAATCACAATTTTATTGATCTTTTAAGTTAAATAGGTCATGGAGCTACTAGGGGTGGGGGAAGAAATCGATACAGCATAGTATCGCGATATTTTCCGCGGCAATACTGTATCGATACACGGACGTGTTGAGTTTTTTTCTAAAATCCTTTAATGCACGGCAAGCCGTTGATTATCCCGCTTATTCCATGGTCATTTACCAGTATTGACAACTTAAAGCTGTTTATGATGTTAGCTGCGCAATATTTAACCGGAAGGGTAAAAATGAGTTATTTTCATCAGTTACGGCTCGTTAGCTCTAGCTTTCTGCCCGCTTCAAATCAGATACAGAGATGAAATAGTGCAGTAAGACCACATTTATTTGAATTAATTATAGCATTTATTTGAATTAATTATCGATCGAGAGAGAGATGACAGTTGTGTGTGTGAGTTACCTGCATCTGTGCGTCACTCTCTACAAGCTATGAAGCAGTTTAGTTACTCAATTTTACCTCGTTGCTGAGGAAGATAATGACGCGATCTAGTATCTATGTTATTTTATTAATAAAAGTCTCGGGGC